CCTATTTTACAGAAGACCTCCTCTTATCCGATTGCCATGGTTGGTGACGTATGATGCGAACGTTGAACATACACACGTATGACCCTCTTACCCACAGCTTAGCTGTAGAATTCATGAAAACTCCTATTATCCGTGGCCCTATTCTTCCTATATCTGTGATTATCTGCAAGTATTCCCATTCTGCTTTGCAAATGTTTGCAGATAAGAGGAGTTCGTCGGAATATTAACCCCCTTACCTGCAATTATCTGCGGAATTTCCCCTTCTGCTTTGCAGAATGGATTCCTACTATCCGCAGTTTATTTCACGGATGAGAGGAGTTCATAAAAAGTAAACCTATTATCCACAATTATACACGATTTTTTGCAGTGGATAAGTGGCGTAATATACCAGATAACCCCCCCCCCCCACCCCCCCGGATAATAGGAGCCTGCATATTTGTCCCGCATATCACCGCAGGTAAGCGGAGTTCTCCGTGTAACATCGCACCGATACATTTGACTGACAAAAAAAACGTGTCTGTGACTGAGAAGTCTGTGGCAGAATGTGACTCGGGTCTTGCGTTTCTGGTTTCACAGTACCAGTATGGGGAAGTAGGTCAATTTAAATGTATCACATACCATCGCAGTGTAGTGACAGGGACCACGTGGCTTTTAATTACACGTCCTCAGGCGGAGGCACCTAAAATGTAACTACCGCTGGTCCACTTTCAATGCCGATCGATAGCTGTACGATGATTTCTCTCGATAAATTAATTACTGAAAGTGACCGGGTGACTCAGAGGGCAAATGCCACGCGGGTGTCAGTGAACCAAACGCTGCCGAGATCCCAGCTTCAAGTCCCCTCGCTCTGAAAGTGGCAGCGTGTCCTTACGCTCTTTCAGAGGTCAGTCATAATCTCCATCGGTAGTCCTGACTTGGGAGTGCGTGAACGTTCCATGTTCCATGGCAAAGACCAATCTATCTCGTGAATTGCAATTTAACTTCCCACCGATTGGATTCCCGACCACGTGATGCTTGTTTTACAATCCGTAACAATGGCAATTGGTTACCGAAAGCCTCGCTGGTAAAAAATTGTAGAGTCCTTCCGCTTCCTGGGCACTATTCTCTCCCGGGACCTCAATTGGGATCTGAACATCAGCTCCCTCACCAAGAGAGCACAACAGAGGATGTACTTCCTACGGCAGCTGAAGAAATTCAACCTACCAAAGACAATAATGGTGCAATTCTATACAGCAATCATTGAATCCATCCTCACCTCCTCCATAACCGTCTGGTACGCTGCTGCCACTGCCAAGGACAAGAGCAGACTGCAGCGTATCATCCACACTGCTGAGAAGGTGATTGCCTGCAATCTACCAACCCTCGAGGGCCTGCACACCACGAGGACCATGAGGCGAGCGAGGAAGATTGTGGCCGATTCCTCCCACCCTGGACACTCTCTGTTTCAGCTACTCCCCTCCAGCAGAAGGCTTCGGTCCATCAGGACCAAAACCTCACGCCATGAAAACAGTTTCTTCCCATCCGCTGCTGGCCTCTTCAACAAGGCCAAGGGCTTACACTGACTTTAACATTTTATCTACAAAATGACACCTTGCCAATATTAACTATGTTACCCCATTTGTATTTTTTATTTTTAGATTGTATCTTGTAGCTATTTTATATTCGATATTTTTTCAATTTTATATACTTTAGCCCCTTGGTGTTAGTTAGACTTTGAACCCTTATTATAGTAAGACTTGTTTACCACTTATTTAAGATTTTTGATTCCTATATGTTGAATGTATGCACCATCCTGCCAAAGTAAATTCCGTGTCTGTGTGAACTTTCATGGCGAATAAAACCCTTTCTGATTCTGATTCTGGTAATCCTCACTGAGTCCCAAGACTCTTTGTTTCATGAGGGTCCTGCATTGAGATGTTTGGCCAATTCCATTTCGAGTGTTTGTCGTGAGGGTTGAAACTGGAGTTATTCAGAGACAATGAACACAAAGACGAGGAGTTGCAAGGTCGCACACATAGATAATTATATGCACAAAAACTGAACGTGGTATTGTGGACCAAATCTACCTGTGGACCATACTTATTATTGGACTGCCATCGTCAGAGCCCAAGCAGGAGTGTGCCTCCAGCACTTGGTATGCACCGGTGGTCACTCGAGTACCTAACCAGGCTCGACTTTGCTTAGCTCCTGAGACTCGGGGAGATCGAGCACGTTCAGCTTGATTTGCAGGAATTGAACTCGCAGGCTCATGATTGGCAGCGTGCATCTCTACCAGCTGAGCCAGAGTACGTTGCCATGACACGTGCGTGTATTTATAAAGTGTTTATTTTAATAATGTCATCACGTGTGATGAGTTAATTACATGAGGAACGACTGACTTAGCAAATGAATGAAACTCTTTCAATCACCGCTTGGATTGGTGTGCTTACTTATATGCATTAACAGAAATTGACCAAGTACACAAGTGGAAGGAGACACGAGATACCATCTCGTGCAAGTGAACATTTCTTTTGCATTATTACCTTGCTCTTAGTTCCAAAATGAGCCCCATCGTTCTGTGTAGCCACATCCAGCCAGCACGCAAGTATAAAAATGCGATACTGTAATAATAGCAACCTACTACTGCATGCGCACTGCCTTTTCGAGATAAAGAGTGGGATTAAGCAACCGTCAAAATGAACGAAGGGAAAAAAACCATCAACCGCCTGATCTGTAATAACAAAAGAATGTGTTTTTAAAGTGACCGCAACAGTTTGTTTAAGATGGGATTAGGAAGCCAAGTGATTTTTTTTTGTGGCAGGAGGAATGCGTATGGCCCAGACCGCAAGCAACAGTGAATTGTTACATCCAAAAAGATCCCTCGTGTAGCCTTAACAGACTGTAGGGGCAAGTGCTGTTAGCGAGCACCTATGAAGGCCGGCACACGAGGGGGTGGGTGGCCAACACCACGCCCGGCCGTCTTTGTCTCCCTAGTGGCGATGTTTACACATTGCACCAGGTACTCATTTGAGGCTGAGTCGACCTAGGGGAGGCCCGGGACCGGTTAAGATAATCGTCACTGGTGTTGGCCGTGAGCGGGAACCGAACCCGGGTCGGTCAGGTTTGTAGCGCAGCGTAGCGCTAACCGCTACACTACCGCTCCCCATTATACAACAACAACCGCCATTCGCCACTAAGTGGCGGTGACGTCACCACGACGCTTGTGCCAGGCTATGTGCACCCTGAGGCCACGTGAAGTGTCGAACGCCCGCTGGCAGGAGGTCACGGGGCAGACCCAGGTGCCACGGGTCGACTGACTGAGATGACTGGCTGATGCACCACCTGTGCCCCCTACTGTGCCAACCTGCTGTGCTTTAGCCACCGGCGCTCCGCTCGTTGTTCTGAGCGTCGCTCCTCCGCCCTCCGTTGTTGTTGGAGGGCGACTGCCTCCAACTGCCCAGTAGCGTCCTTCACGAACCTCCTCCACAGAGGCCGATCTTGACACCGCTGGTACCAGTCATCGGCAAGTCCACTCAGCTCCACATCCTCCTGTACCACATCACTCCATCTCTTCTCTAGCCCGTGCCGCGCCCGCTTAGCCCCCTCAATCCGACCGAACATTATACACACACACATGCGCACGCACGCGTCCATTTGCGCACGCACAATCAAACGATACTTCGTACGGATGGCAAGTGCTCGTCCACACGTGCTCCTGTGATGTGGACATTTTAAAACGATGCACATTAACTTATCCTTCCGTAAAAAAAAATGTTTGTGCGATATTAATCAATAAATAAAACACACAGCCCTTTGTCAATCCACCAAAATATTGGACGAAGGTCTCTCCCACGCTGCGTTGATCGTAGGGGTTCATCGACCACACTTCATCGAACTGGGCAGTGCAGGTTGGGGAACGGAGGGACCAAGCAGCCTTTCAGATATCACTTGCTTGTATCTGTCTTCGCTGGGCATCAATCTCAGGTCCAGTGGCGTTGCACTGCAGCGCTCTGTGGCTATCACTCCACCCACCCTTCATGCTGCAATGTTTAAAATGCTCATATCTGCAGTATCAGACCGTGTAATCATTGAAGTCCAGCCGAAACTATTCTACTCGTAAATATGTCAGCGATTGTAGAAAAGCGACTGGCACCCGTGAGATACATTTAAGGAACGTGACATCTTGGACAAAATGAATAATCAGATAAATGCCAATGGAGACAACTGCTCCTGAAACTTTTGTTTGTCTGTCGGGGGGTGGTTTCGAATCTCAAGTGGTTAAAGTTTGCTGAAATAACACAACCACCGAGGCTGCGTGTCACGATATAAGCAGTAACACAGAAACACGCACAAAACGTGGCGCTGACGAATGCCTACTAAGGGTAGTAATAGGTCACATGTAAACACGTTCAATAACGCAAGTCGATACAAACACGCATTGCCAATGTGCAATAATTAAAACGAGCAATGCAAACGCATGCAATGAATTTGGGGGGGGGGGGGGGGGGGGGGCGATGTGTATGATCTACCTCCGGTACCTCTTCCGAGGGTGAATTAACACGCCATACGAAGCCGCATATGGTTCCATTCATCGCCAGGAGAGCGGCATAGACTACACGAAGCGATACACACTCACACGCACACTCACACACAAAGCGAGCCACACTTGTACACCCAAACACAGACACGAACGGCCTTACCTGCGAATGAATGAGACCGAACGGATGGATGTCGGGGGTGGGTTTTTTTGGGGTGGGGTGGGGTGGGGGGGGGGCTAGAAATAAAAAGAAAGTTAACACTTCTTGCCCGGAGCCTCAGCCACGCTCATCTGCATCACGCAGAGAACCCACGCGCTGCGCCGCTCCAAGCTCGCCACAACCCCATACGCTCACACCGCACAACGCACGCGTGCGCGCACTGTGAGCCATTCACGGCAGTCACACAATGCAACCTCACCCCCCCCCACCCCATCCCATCCTCCTCTCCGCTATTGTGCGGCGGCTTCCCGGCAGAATGCTGACCTCTGAAGGGGAGGCGGGGCCGCTGCTGCTGCCGCCGCTGCCGCTGTTGCTGCTTAGCTTGGCACGCAGACGCCTGGCACGAGTTAATAATGCATCGCACCGAGAGTAAGAACCTTGCATTGCTCTGTTTCACCGGAGCCGCGCCACAAGTAATGCGAGTAGGACACACAAAACGAACTCCTGCCCCGCTAGCAGTTAAAAAAAAACAATGTACAGATACAAAAATGAATGGCATTGACAGGTGGTAAAAATCATTCACTCTATTAAGGGTTTTTCTTTTTTTAGATAAGTACGGTTGACATGGTCATCGCCTGGAGGTGCATGGCCCATTCACCTTTCCGTCTGAGCTCTCCAACAACCTTAGTAGCACTCACGGGATGTTTCAATGGACAGGCTTAGGAAAGAGGAGGTCCCTGATGCGAACTCCTCACTGAGGTTTTGGACCTCAAAGCCTCTTTGTCTTCCCCTGATGGCCTGCTTATTCAGCCGTGGCAATGACGATGCACCAATTAGTTCTGCCTTTATTGAGATAGCTCAAGTCTCGATGCCATGTGCCCGGTTGCATTTCGTCTATTCGTTTCGCTGAATATTCGACACATTTTCTGACAAAACGTAAACGTTGTACCGAACCGGCCGACACGTAGGCATATGGCAGCGCGTACGTAAGAGAAAATATTTTTTCTCTGTAATCTTATTGCAAATGTAATAATTCCAGAAATAGTATCAACCGTAAAATAATTAAAATAAACAAATAAGACTGCACGCAGGGCCCTTTGGTCAATACTTCTGCTGAATGTAGGACTATCCACGGCGTGCTGGCCATGGAGGTTGTTTGACCATACTTCACCGCGCTGGTTAATGCGGTACTGTATCGTGAAGTGGGAGTTGATTCAAATGGTTAGCAGTGGCCAGGAATCAAACTCAGGGCGCCGGGTTCAAAGTGCTGTGTGCGCTGACCACTGCACCATTGAGCCACCACTCACCACCCCCTCCAAAAAAACAAAGATCCCCTGAACAGACTGTTGGGGCAAGTGCTGTTAGCGAGCACCTATGAAGCTCAGCACGGCACACGAGGGGGTGGGTGGCCAGCACCACGCCCGGCCGCCTTTGTCTCCCCAGTGGCGATGTTCATACATTGCACCAGGTACTCATTTGAGGCTGAGTCGACCTAGGGGAGGCCTAGGACCGGTTCAAATAATCGTCACAGGGTGTTGGCCGTGAGCGGGAATCGAACCCGGGTCACCAGGTTCGTGGCGCAGCGCGTTAACCGCTACACTGCCGCTCATCACACCACTCCCTCCACCCCCCATAACACGAGCATTGACAATAATGTAGCCTGGCCGTGGTGGTGCACGCCTGTAGTCTAGCACTGTGGAGGCGAGGGTTGGCGTGTCGCACAAGTGTTCTCTGCATACTCCCTCCCTGCGGGTGCAGGAGGTGGTTTCACACTCCTGGCTCGCCAGGAGAAGTCGGTAGAACTTAGCAAAGTGCGCGCCAATATCATACGTCCCTTCTGTGTGGGATACAGCAGAGGTCGGCAATCTGCGGCTTTTTAAGGACTGCTTCGTGACATTACTTATGAATGACCACCGTCTCGTATTCACATGCATTGCGGCTCTTGAAATATTTAGGGGGGGGGGGGGGTTTCTTACCGGCTTTTTATAATTTTGGTTTGCCGACCCCTGGGATAGAGTGTTGCCCCCTCGCACGTGTGTGCTTTCCCTGGGCCATCTGGTTTTCGCCCACATGCGTAAACAATCATTAATGTGCCGAAAGCATCGTAATATATAGATGACCGCAGAGCTTGGGCAATTGTTGGTGCCCGCTCACCACCTGGCTACCTTCCCGCTTATCTGCGGTTCATTGTGCCTCAAGGTTGTTCTCTGTCTTCGAGAGTGAACAAGTAGCGTGTGAGGCATTACAAGTCAAAAATATTATTTGTATTAAATAGTGATAATCATTATAGATTTGAAGTTTGCGTGACTGCAAGGATCCATACTCTGGTTCTTTCGGTAAAGTCAATGAGGTAAAGAAAACAAACATTAAATAAAAGATAAAAAGATACATTTATTTTTATCATGCCGAACACCATACTCTGGTTCTTTCGGTAAAGAAAATAAAAATAAAATATAAAAAGATACATTAATTTTATCTTTTATTTTATTTTTATTTTATTTTTATCTTTTATTTTATTTTTATTTCCTTTACCTACATGACTTTACTGAAAGAACGAGTATGGTGATAATCATATCTAGCAAACGTAAAATTTTCAGGTTATAATACGAACAACATTGGCTTTATTTGCATACTTGCATGGTGCATTCATGTTGAGCACAGTTAACAAACAAAAAATATCACCGCACAATTTTTATACACGGCATATATGATTCGCCTGAAATTAGGACATCAATCAATTTACCTTGGATAGATTGCATTGAAGTGAGATTGACAGCTCCAGTGAGCGAACGTGCTTGGGTGGATGATGACCTACGGGAGATGAAGTGACATCATGATGGCAAATGCAGGCGTCAAGCACAAGACAGCCGCGCTGGACCAGACATCATGACCACATGTGGCCGTATATATCAGTGTGTATATATATACGGTATACACGTGCGTCAAATACACGATGTATAAATGAGAAAAATTAATGCACGAGGTATGTAAGTTATTCAGCACGTTAAATGTATCTTCCTTATCAAGAGTGTATAGATCAATAAATACGGATAATAGGGAGATAAACTTGGATCAACAGAGTGACAGCCGAATGAGGGAATACACCGATCGAGGAGACGTAACGATTCAGGCAGCTCGCGTGCAGGTGGTACCAGATGCCCGTGTCGCATTGCCAGAGCGCGAGCGATGGCGACGACTTGGGAAGCCTTCATCCAGCAGGGGATTGGTTATGGCTGCTGATGATGATCGTAATGATGAGAGGGTGGCAAGGAAAGCCATAGAATATCGGCTGGCTGGCATTTTTCAGGCATGAGTCATCTAACGTGATTGTAATAATTGATTATTCCCAATTCATATATGTTTATAGATTTCGTAACACTATATTTTTTTAGTGTTTATAGCTCCATAAATTATACTGCATGCACCACAAGGCGACGACTTGGGAAGCCTTCATCCAGCAGGGGATTGGTTATGGCTGATGATGATGATGATCATCATAATGATGAGAGGGTGGCAAGGAAAGCCATAGATTATCGGCTTGCAGGCATTTTTCAGGCATGAGTCATCTAACGTGATTGTAATAATTGATTATTCCCAATTCATATATGTTTATAGATTTCATAACACTATATTTTTTTAGTGTTTATAGCTCCATAAATTATACTGCATGCACCACAAGCGCAAACACAAATGAATTCATGAACTGATTCGTGATCCCCCAAATGGTGACAATTCATGGGATTGTGCAGAGGGTGTTTAATTACTTTCTCTACAAAATGAAGTGGTGTATATTAATTATTTGCCCAGCTATTATTCAATGAGTCATAGTATATTCTGCTTTTGCAGATGGGTTCTAGCTGGGGATGATATTATATTTCCTTTTGGATTGTTCTTAATGGAGGTTTTTTTTGGAAGGAAACCAATGTACGCTGTAATACACAGCAGATGTTATACTACTGTGGTATATCCACCACTAACGTGGAATGGTGGCAGAGCACTTAGCAAACTGCGCTTTCACCGCGGCGGCCTAAGTTCAATTCCAAGCCATGGCGAACACCGGTGGTGAGCGGCTCTTCGATGAGTTATCGGGTTTAACCGCGAATTGTTAAGCATGAATGGAATTTATTCCTGAAGAAGCTTCCATGCCATGGAGTGAAACGTCCGACATCATGCCGAACAAGGCTTGCTACAACCCGAAAGCCAAACCAACACAGTCGTACCATTAGTGAGTGTTCACCAACCCGCACCGAACAGCGTGATGACATACGGTCAAAAGATGTTCCCATGTGCCGCACGATATGTGGGAAAACTGACAAATGACCGGTAATTCTATTATTATTCTGATACCCAGTGTTGAGGAATCAAGAGTGAAATTAAATTCATGTTTGCATGTGCAAATGTACAGCCCAGCTGTGTAGTGTAAATGTGACAGCAATGAAGATGCTGGCTTTAGGCTGTCGCTGGCTGTCACTTGGTCGTACGTAAGTAATTCCCTCGAGGGCCCCCTCAACAGGGCCAACCACTGCACGTAATAAAGTGGAATCTGGAGAGAGCTGTTTGTGAAGTCAACGAAAAATACCAGGCGAGAAATCCTGTGTGCACTTTGCGCGGACACCTGCACGCTCACCAGAAATAGTAGTGGTTGGTTTGGGCTGGCTGATAATAAGTATTTAAGGCTGCTCGCACACACATTCACACACACGCACACACACGTGCATATTAATAAGATGTAAAAATACAAATCCCATGCTACACTTGCGGGAGCCCCAACACACAATAAATGTGACCGCTGTATTTGCATGCGCGCGTGCACAAATGAGCACATTTTTTTTACGAATGGTTGAGAAATCCCAGATGTATATACATGAAGTTATATAAAACAATGTGACCTCTGTAATGTGTATGCGCTTGAACAGACACAGACAAAAGATCACCCGTATAGCCTTAATAAACATTTGTGGCGTGTGTGTATGTATGTTGAACTTCTTTCGCATCGTACGTAGCCAACCGTGCTAATCAGAGGCGCTGTTAGCGAGCTCCAATGAAGGCCGGCGAGGCACACGAGGGGGTGGGTGACCAGCACCACGCCTGGCCGCCTTTGTCTCCCCAGTGGCGATGTTTACACACCACATCAGGTACTCGTTTGAGGCTGAGTCGACCTAGGTTCGGATCGTCGTCACTGGTGTTGGCTGTGAGCGCAAATCGAACTCTGGGCGCACCAGGATCGTAGCGCAGTGCGCTTAATTGCATGTGTGTGTGCATGCATGTGGGAGCGGTGGTGTAGTGGTAATTAAGGACGGTGCGCTACGACCCCGTCACCTGAGTTCGACTCCGGGCTAGGGCTAACACGAGTGGTGATCTATCTGAACCGGTTCCAACCGTCGACTGAACCTTGCACGAGCGCCTGGTGCGGTGTTTAAACATCAACACTGGGGAGACAAAGGTGGTCGGGCGTGGTATTAGCCACACCGCTCTGTCGCGTGCCGTGCCGACTTTCACAGGTGGTGGCTGACCGTCAGCCCGCGCAGGCTACACGGAGGAAACTTTGTCTTTGTGTGGCAGTGGGGAGAAGTGGTGGAGCGGTGTTGCTCTCCGCGTCACAACAACAACTATGGGCCTGAGCTCGCATCCTGGCCATGGATAAAGCCACGGTCGTGTTGATGAGCGTCGCCAGGGGTTTCCCCTACGTCGACTCAGCCTTCAATGGGCACTTGGTCGCAGTGTGTAAAACGACTTTGCTTGCCACACTACGGCCGCCTCTGTGTGTATCCCTATACAGCTGAGGGGTTTCAAATGTGTGCATACTTCCACGTGTTAATATATGGTTTGTATGTTGGTGCCTATGATTAAATCACCCAGAATCATGCCCAACCCCATCAAGATCTGGGAAGCTAAGCACGTTTAATGGACGATGATTTTATATGCCACTGCGATATG